GGCTACGGCACAACCAACTTTTCCCAAGCCAAGCTTTGATCCATCATACTTCACTTTCCAAGTACCATCTTTTCCACCAGACCCTACCCATTTCACCACCAATTCTTACCCTCAACATCTCCGGTACGAGCTTACCGCTGGACAAGAGAAGGCTACAAAGAACCCCAAGCAAGAGGAAATCACTCGGAAAATGAGGAGCATGGAATAGATCCTTAAGAATATACAAGGCTTGAGCGGCCAAAATAGCGTATCCTACACTGATCTATGTATGTAACCGCATGTGCATTTGCCTATCGGTTTCAAGACCCCCAAGTTCGAAAAGTACGACGGGCATGGGGACCTTATAGCCCACCTCAATAGGTATTGAAATCAATTAAGAGGGGCAGGCAGAAAAGAAGAGCTCCTAATGGCTTATTTTGGAGAGAGTCTAGTTGACATTGCATCTGAGTGGTACATGGATCAAGACATGTCTCGCAGACACATATGGGATGATTTGGCTCGAGATTTCGTCATACAATTCCAGTACAACATAGACATAGCTCTAGACAGCAATTCCCTGACTAATCTCAAAAAGAAGTCTTCAGAAAGTTTCCGAGAATATGTTGTTAAGTGGCGCGAACAAGCAGCCAGGGTGAAGCCCCCGATGGACGAGACCGAGATGGTCAGTGTTTTTTTACAAGCCCAAAAGGTGGACTACTTTCAGAATATGATGTCTGCAATGGGAAAGCCGTTTACTGAGGCTATCAAAATTGGGGAGATGGTCGAAAATGGTTTAAAGACAGGATGTATATTGAGCCAGTCTGCTATAAGAGCTACATCCCAAGCAATCCAGAGCAGGTCAGGGGGTGTAGAAAATAGAAAAAAGAAAGAAGAGGTGGCGATGGCGGCTTCAAGTCCGAGGAACCCCTGCCAACCCCGAGATTACTTCCCACCAGGATGTGGCTTATACCATGGCTCCCCAGCCTTATGCGGTAATGAATGCCCAACCATACGCTCGTCCACAACAACAGTTTAACCAAAACTGAGCTCCACTTCCTAGAAATAACCCTCCTCATCAAGCCTCATATAATCCTCGTCCCTCACAAAATAATTTTCCATACAATGCCCGTGCCCGGGAGCCACCTAGAAGAACAAACTTCACGCCTATTGGTGAATCATACTCTAGACTTTTCCCTAAACTGGTCCAAATGGGTTTGTTGCAACCCGTACCCCAAACCAGGCAAAACCCAGAATCACCTTCCTATGGACACGGTACTCAATGTGCTTAGCATTCAGTAGCAGAAGGGCATGACACTGAAGACTGTTGGACTCTCAAAAGGGAAATCGAAAATTTAATAGAGCAGAAGAGGGTAGTGCTGAAAGATGAAGAGAACCCCAATGTGACCAACAACCCATTGCCGGCTTACAACAACGGGCCAATTATTGGTATGATTTGTGAAGATAAAGAGTTTGACCCAGCTCTAAAAGCCATCATTGCCATCGCCAATGTGGAAAGGAAGCTAAAGACTGCTGCAAAGCAAGATAAGAGGGAGAAAAAGAGTAACTCCACTCCTCGAAGTGAAGAAAAGACTAGGGAAACCAAAACAGGGGCAACACCCCTTAAAGACACCATTCTTTATGTTCCCCGAGCTCACTGGAAAGAACAATTGGCATTGAGTCCTCTTAAAAGGTTCAAGCTAAACAAGGGACCCAAGATGTATGTACCCAAAGGGACTTATGTGGCGCGGGGACCAGTAATTTCACCCAGGCTAAACGAGCCCTTGATCATCAGCCGCGCACCACAAAGGCCTATGAAAGATCCCACTGCAGTCCCCTAGAACTACAACAGAGCAATTGTGACTTACAAGGGGAAAGAAATCATAGGGGAAGTAAATGAAACCAACCCATCTGGGAAGTACCTCAATCTGGAAGAAGCGAACAACGCCAAGCAGAAGCACTTCCCGCTCAAAAAGCCAGTTAGTGCCGAGGAAGCAGAGGAGTTCTTTCGAAAAATGAAAAATGCGGATTACGGGGTAATTGACCAACTCCGGAAGTCTCCCTCTCAGGTCTCGCTCTTATATCTACTGATAAGCTTGACTGAGCATCAGAAAGTGTTGATAAAGACCCTAAATGAAGCATATGTTCCGATTGAAACCACTATTGAGCAACTGGAAAGGATGGCGGAACGATTCTTCGAAGTCAACCAGATTTTATTCAGTAGGAATGACTTGCCCCCGGAAGGGGCCACCCATAACAAAGCTCTCCATCTGACAGTTAAGTGTGAAGGGTACTATGTGAAAAGAGTCATGGTGGATGGCGGATCGGGGGTCGACATATGCCATCTCTCAACTTTGTAAAGAATGAAAATTGGGACTAAGAGAATCAGGCCTAACAATGTTTGTGTGCGTGCTTTCGATGACATCAAGAAGGACACAATAGGAGAGATTGATTTGATCTTAACTATCGGTCCTGTGGATTTCGAAGTGATGTTTCAGGTCTTGGACATGGATACCTCTTATAATTTTCTCTTAGGAAGGCCTTGGATCCATGCTGCAGGGGCCGTACCTTCTACCCTCCACCAAATAGTGAAGTTTGAACACAAAGATCAGTAAATTGTGGTTCATAGAGAAGACGAGCAATCAATTTACCAGGACCCATCAGTCCCATGTCTCGAAGCTAGGGAAGGTAGCGGGCACATAATCTATCAAGCTTTTGAGGTTGTGGTCGCAGATCAATGTGAGGAAGGTAGCCCGTGTCCTCAACCCTTTCTGTCAAATGCGTCACTCATGGTCACTACTGAAATGATCAAGCACAGTTATAAGCCTGGGAAAGGGTTCGGGGTATCTTTGCAAGGTATCACAGAACCTATCACTTTAGCTGCCAGCGAGAAGTTCTTCGGTGTGGGTTTTCATGCCACAAAAACTGATATGACATTGGAAAATGAATGAAAGAGCAATGGTTGGGTGTTACCTCAGCCGGTCCCACATCTCTCCAAAACATTCATCAAGCCCAAGTACACAGAAGAAGAAGAAGAAGATGAGGCCTTCACGGCAGAGGAAATTGAGGACATATGTGGAGCCACGAGGCAAATGTTATATGAATCTCATATGGTCCAACCGGGTGAAGGCTCGAGCATTGCTGAGGTGCAATTTATGGGGCCCGATGCCAAGCTGCAAAATTGGAAGGCTACTCTGTTCCCAGTCAGGCTGGAATCCCGGTAGTCTAGTCTTGCCACCTTTTCTGCATTCTGAGTTATTCCATGGTGTAACTCGAATGTTTCTTTTTAGTTTATTGTCTTTAAAATTTCAATGTAAACCCTTCTATCTTCAAATCCAATGAAATGAAAACAATATTTCATCGTCTATGAATCTCTTTCTTTTATTCTTTCTGATTTTTGTTACTTTTCTTATTTATTACTTTCAGTTCTAATAACGCAGACTTAAATAACATGACATGCTTGCGGACTTGATGCCCAGATCATAGCACATTGTCCAACTGTGAAATAATTAATCAAGAACCAAAATATGATGAAGATGAGGCTTTTAGGGAAATAAATCGAGAACTGGAACAATTCGAGAATAAACCTAAGCCAAACTTAAATGAAATCGAGCCGGTTAATTTGGGTAGTTCAGAAGAGGTCCAAGAAATCATGATAAGCATTCACACGGATGAAAGAACTAGGGATGCATTGATCCAACTTTTGTTCGAATTCAAAGATGTGTTTGCTTGGTCCTATGATGATATGCCAGGACTGAGTGTTGATTTAGTGATACACAAATTTCCAACTTACCCGATTATCCTCCGGTCCAACAAAAGCAGAGAAAGTTCATAACTGACATCAGTGACAAAATCAAAGAAGAGGTCACCAAACAGTTAAAGGCGGGGGTGATCCAAGTGGTCCGATACACCACATGGTTGGCTAATGTGGTTCCAGTGCCCAAGAAAGATGGGAAAAATCGAGTGTGTGTTGATTATCAGGACTGAACAAAGCAAGTCCCAAAGACAACTTCCCTTTGCCAAACATCCACATCCTTGTTGACAACTGTGCCAGACATGAGATACAGTCTTTTGTGGATTGCTATGCTGGATATCATCAAGTCTTGACGGATGAAGAAAATGCGAAAAAAATAGCCTTCACCACACCCTGGGGCACCTATTGTTACAGGGTCATGCCTTTTGGTTTGAAGAATGCTGGGGCAACTTACATGAGAGATATGACTGCTATATTTCATGACGTGATGCACCAAGAAATCGAGGTGTATGTGGATAATGTGACCATTAAATCTAGAACGCAAGACGACTATGTTCAGGATTTGAGAAAGTTCTTTGAGCGTCTACGTAAGTATGACTTGAAGTTAAATCCAGCTAAATGTGCATTTGGAGTTCCGTCTAGGAAACTCTTGGGATTTATAGTCAGTCGGAGGGGCATCAAGCTAGATTCAACAAAGATAAAATCTATTTGGGATTTGCCTCCTCCGAAAACCAAGAAAGAGATTATGAGTCTATTGGGAAGGTTGAATTACATCAGCCGGTTCATTGCTCAGTTGACGTCCACATGTGAGCCCATATTTAAGCTGTTAAAGAAAGATGCAGTGATTAAATGGACAGATGAGTGTCAAGAAGCCTTCAACAAAATCAAAGAATATCTGTCAAATCCTCCAGTCTTGGTCCCACCCGAACCTGGAAGGCCTTTGTTTTTATATTTGACAGTCTTGGAGAATTCCTTCGGATGTGTCCTCGGGCAACATGATGTAACCGGGAAGAAATAGCAGGCAATATACTATTTGAGCAAGAAGTTCACCAGCTACGAAGCCAAATACACTTTGTTGGAAAGGACTTGTTGTGCCCTAACTTGGGTCGCTCAAAAGCTCAGGCATTACCTGTTGGCCTACACCACTTATCTCATCACCAGGTTGGATCCTTTGAAGTACATATTCCAAAAGCCGATTCCCACGGGGAGGTTAGCAAAATGGCAAATCCTGCTCACCGAGTTTGACATAGTCTATGTCACCCACACGGCAATGAAAGCTCAAGCTTTAGCGGATCACTTAGCGGAAAATCCTGTTGATGATGAGTATCAGCCTTTGAGTACTTACTTTCCGGATGAGGAAGTAAACTCAGTTGAGGTAACTTTAGAGGACGCCAATGATTGGAAAATGTTCTTTGATGGAGCTATGAATGCAAAAGGTATCGGGATTGGGGCAATCTTGATCTCACCCACTAGTCAGCATTATCTGGCCACAGCCCGGCTTTGGTTTTTCTGCACCAACAACACTGCCGAGTATGCAGCCTACATTATGGGTATGAACATGGCAATCGACCAAGATGTGGAAGAATTGTTAATCATGGGAGATTCAGACTTGATTATCCGACAAGCTCAGGGTGAATGGGAAACTCAGGATGTCAAGCTTATTCCATACAGGCAACATGTGGAAGATCTTAGCAAGCAGTTCAAGTCAATCGAGTTCAGGTACATTCTGCGGTTTCCTAATGAGTTGGCCGATGCACTCGCTACTTTGGCCTCGATGTTGCCATATCCAGGCAATGTCCACATTGACCCATTGGAAATCCAAATCCGAGAAAGGCATGGTTATTGCAATACGATTGAGGTGGAACCAAATGTTCTTCCATGGTATCATGATATCAAGAGATTTTTGAAAATAAAGGAATATCCCGAGCAAGCCAATAGAGACCAAAAGAGAACCATTAGAAGGCTTGCCAGCAGTTTCTTCTTGAGCGGAGAGGTCTTGTACAAAAGGACTCTAGATCTCAACCTTTTAAAATGTGTGGATGCCCAAGAGGTCGAAAGAATCATGAATGAAGTGCACGCAGGAGTGTGTGGTCCCTATATGAATGGATACGTCCTGGCAAAGAAAATCCTTCGAGCAGGCTATTACTGGATGACCATGGAAAAAGATTGTTTCAGTTTTGTCCGAAAGTTTCATTAGTGTCAGGTACAAGGTGACCTGATTCATGCACTACCTTCAGAACTACATCCTATTTTAGCACCGTGGTCGTTCGTTGCCTGGGGTATGGATGTCATTGGGCCAATCGGGTCAAAAGCTTCAAATGGGCATAGATTCCTATTAGTGGCCATTGACTACGTCACAAAATGGGTTGAAGCAGTCACTCTTAAAGCCATCACTAAGAAAGCAGTGGTAGACTTCGTGCACTCCAACATCATCTGCCGTTTTGGTATCCCTACAACTATCATTACGGACAATGCTGCAAACTTGAATAGTCCCTTGATGAGGGAGATATGTGAACAATTTAAGATCACGCATCAAAATTCTACCCCATATTGGCCCAAAGCTAATGGTGCTATTGAAGCAGCAAACAAGAACATCAAGAAGATTCTTAAAAAAATGATTCAAAGTTCAACACAATAGCATGAAAAGTTGCCATTTGCATTGTTGGGATATCGCACAACTATGCGCACATAAGTCGGAGCAACACCCTATCTATTGGTTTATGGCACTAAAACTGTAATACTCGCAGAGGTTGAAATTCCATCTCTCCGAATCATTATTGAGGCTGAAATTGAGGATAGTGAGTGGGTCAAGACCCGTCTAGAACAATTAACCTTGATTGACGAAAAGCGGATGGCTGCATTTTGCCACGGGCAATTGTATCAACAAAGAATGGCCCGTGCCTACTACAAGAAAGTGTGGCCTAGGAACTTTGAAGTGGGGCAACTCTTTTTGAGACGTATTCTCCCTCATCACAAGGAATCAAAAGGAAAGTTTGCCTCAAACTGGAAAGGTCCATACATTATAACAAAATTGTTGCCGAAAGGGGCATTGTACTTGGGAGACATTGAAGGAAATGATCCTAAAACAGCTATCAATGCAGACGTAGTCAAAAGGTATTACGTTTAACCCTTTCTGCGGCACCGCTATTTTCCGATTGGGATGACGAAGGCTTTCATTGTTGCTACCCCGAACACTTCAACCCTCTGCTAACCCTTTGATCCGGTTACCTTTCTTTGATTACCCTCTTTGGAACTTGAAAACGTTTATAAAAAAATCAAAAATCAAAAATAAAAAAAAACAAAAAGCAAAAACAAAGTTTCCCTGAACTACGTTCGACTTGATTCTGAAAGGATACGTAGGCAGCCTCTCACTGGGGGTTCAGTCACACTAAAATAAAAATCCAAAGTCCCCCAAAAAGCAAAACTGGGGCAGATGTTATAATGGTTCGGTGATGATCCCGCCCAAAAGGTTCCAAAGTTGTAACTCAATCCAAATCCTTTTTTACCCAAACCCTGGTCAAGTCCTTCCGATCAATCAGTGAGAATGTTCAAGGACCGAAGAATACAGTTACTTGGATTCGATACAGTCAAAATGAGAAAAATAAAATGAGAGAGTCTTATTGGTGAAAACCTACATGGTCACCGTGAAGTGATAGTAAGTAAAGAAATTAAAATAAGAGAGTCTTGTTAGTGAAAACTCGCAAAAAGCACTATAAGGCGATGGTGAGTAGAGAAATGAGAGAGGTCAGCTCATGAAAACCCGCAAAAAGCGCCCCTGATCGAAAAGAGGATTCTCACAGCCATCGGTATTGACAGAGTCCTGGCTAGGTTTCTCGATTTTGAGGCAAAAGTTGTGATGAATTTCTGAGAGTCGGACGGTTTACACAGATCAGGCAGATCAGGCATCCAGTCCAAAAGGCATGTCATGTTCATTGAAGTCCGCATCTACTCCAGATTAGTCCTTCTTTCCTTTCCCCGAAAGGGACACTCCTTGTTCTAAACTCATTCTCCATTCCATTGTTTATTCTCTTTGAATCCCTTTCGGTCTAACTCTGTTTCGAAACTAAAACAAAGAAAAGATGGTAAGACTGATTTACAGGGTTCCCATTTGACACTAGCTAACATGCAAAAAGGGGACCCAGCCTCGTTAGGGGCATCAAGTCGACCTCGATAGGCCATGGCGGCCAATGCTTCGAAATCAAAATTTTTGGAAGGAGAAAATCAAATTGAAGTGCCTATAAAGGCAAACGAAGTTGAAAAGATTGAGTACCACATGGCTAAATATCTCGGCAAAAGTTCGAAAAGCTAAGACACCCAAATGCTCTGAAATTGAAGTTGGAAGAAAGAATCCAGAAATGAAAGGCCTATGAAGGCGAAATAAAGTTGAAAAAAGGGTTAAGTCCTCAGTGACTAGCTGTTGCGACAAAGTTTGAGGAGCCAAAAGTTCCCCAATGCTCTGAAGTTAGAAATTGAAAAAAAAGAGTCAGAAGTAAAAGGCCTACGAAGGTTAAATAAAATCGATAAGGTTGAGTTCCACCGACCAACCGCCATAGCAAAGTCTAAAAATCTAGATCTCCATGGCCTGAAATGAAATCGATCCTTAGAGAACAAGCAATTGCAGTTGAGATCTTCATCAAAGAAGCCGACCCGAGATCGAGTGATTGAAATAATCAAGGCCACAAAACCAACCACCGTTTCAAACTAACAATTGTTCTTTGTTTGAAAACGTGAAACAGGTGCAATCCAAAGCAACCTTGCAAGAAGCAGGTGCAACCAAAGAGAAACTGTGCGAGGGCTAGAAACAGCTTTGCAGCAACAATCCATAAAGGGAAGTCCCCTCCAAAATTCTTTCCCGCATTTACTAATTCTATGAAATAAAAAAAAAAGAAAAATTCAAAAAAAAGAGAAAGAAAAAAATGATAAGAAGAAAAAATTCAAAAAAAACATGGTAACCTAGGGTACCCAATCTCTAGTTTCGTTTTTTCCAACATAGGGTTTCCACTCCCTAGTTGATTTTATTTTAGACATAGGGTTTCCACTCCCTAGTCGCTTTTCCAACATAGGGTCTCCACTCCCTAGTTGATTTTATTTTAGGCATAGGGTCTCCACTCCCTAGAATGCTTTTCCAACATAGGGTCTACACTTCCTAGTTGATTTTATTTTAGACATAGAATCTCCACTCCCTAGTATGTTTTTCCAACATAGGGTCTCCACTTCCTAGTTGATTTAATTTTAGGCATAGGGTCTCCACT